TTAGAACACAAAGAGCGCATACCTCAATAGGGGTAACTGATACAATCATTAAAAAAAATCTAGATTCGGATCATGGTCCGGACCACCGCCAAAATGGGCATCCAAGATTGGCTAAGCCACCTCTGCGAAAAAAATCATAAAAATTTGTTCAAATTTTTTGTTATCCTAAGAGCGCTCAGAGAGCGTATACCTCGGACGAGGCGGACGATGCAATCATTTAAAAACTTTCCAGATCCGGATCATAATCCGGATCACCAGCAAAATTTAATGGCACATATATATATATATATGTGTGTGTGTGTGTATGTACACATATGTGTATATTGTGTATGTGTGTGTGTGAGAGGAAAATTAAACCCTTGCTCGTCCGCTGTGATCAGCTGTTCACGTGTTTCCTTCTCTGTTGCAGGTAAGACTAGCATCCGGAAGGGCGCGCCAAGGGAAGTAAGGGAGACCACTGGCCAGGCGGGGAAGCCGACCACCGCGAACAGGTTAAAACTGCAGTTAGAGTAAGAGACAAAGTCGAGGCTTGAGCGCTGGCCCTGTCATGGTCCGAAGGCGATCGTGAGGTGGAGTCGGCTGGAGTCCGGGCGGCGGGCGCGAGGAGCCGAGCGAGCGAGGCCGAGCGAGTCGCGACCCGAGGCGGAGGACGTGGATGGTGCGCGGGTGCCCGAGCGTGTCGGCACGGACTGGCCAGGCGGACCGACGTGTGTGTCAGTGGATGGCAGTGTCAGCCCCTGGAGTGGTGATGTGTTCCCAGGGCCACATGCTCTTGTCCGCCGCCGCCGCCGCTGCCGCCACCGCTACAGCCACCGCCACCACTAACGTTGCCGCTGTCGCCTCCGTAACTAACGCCGCTGCCACCATCTCCTGCATTACCAGCACTGCCAGCACTGCCATCGCCAACGTCACTGCTACAGCTGCTGCCGCTGCCACCGCCAGAATCACTGCTAGCGCCGTCGCCGCCACCTTGCCAATCGTCGCCGCATATACATTTCTCGCTGCCACCACCACCGCCAAGAGCAGCATCGAGGGCGCGGCGGCAGAGCGGGCGGCGAGGTTAGCGCCGGTGTTATCTTGCGTCTTCAGCACATCTTGAGGCCGTGAAGGGAGGGACTCGTCGAGACCGCCACTAGGAGTAGATCTTTAATTGCCAACTAGCTGCTAAGGTGTTTGTAAATATACTAGTATACTAACGCTACAACTACTACCACTATCACAACTACTACCACAGCTATTATTATTATCGTTATCTATTATTATTATTATTATTATTATTATTATTATCATCTTCACTGTAACTCTCATCAGTACTGCTATTATTACTTTAACAAGTAGAGACAGGCAATTTTCTAATTTTCTACTGCAACTTTTTCATAAGCTGTTGGAATGTGATTACTAAGTGCCCTCTATGAAGTGCCTGTATCTTATTACATTCATGATTCTCCCTTATTTGTAATGCCTAAGTGAACTCGGTAGAATTATTTTCGGAAAGGAAAGAGAGAAGGAGAGCAAAAAGATAGCCCGGTGAGCCTCGGTGTTTCCATGCGGCCCCGAAAAGAGAATTTCGCCCCGGCAGGACCAGCGGCCTGTCGCCTGTGTGCCATGTGTAGTGATTGTTGTGACTCGAGTTGACCCCGCCCCTCTGGAAAGGTCTTGGTTCATTCTTTTTATCAGCTATTTTTGAGTTCTTAAGTTGATTGTGTTCTTTGCCATAGTTCTTTGACGATATCATTATAGACTCCAAGTAGCCACTCTTGTGTTCAGCCTCAGTCCCTTCCAAATCGAACGTCATAGCCAGTGGGAAATATACGCATGGACGCAAAGGAAACTTTTGAGGACATTTTTTGTGTGACGAGTTGAATTCACTTCTAAAGTAAATAAAGATACTAGAATTCTCCCTTAGAAAAAGTGGGCATTGAATTTTCGTTTCACGCTGTATTTTGAATGCAGAAGAAAAGAAAAGGAAAATATAGGGGAAAAAATAAATCACGGTAGATATAGGAGCCGACATTCTTAGTGGAGGAGAATTTATCGGGTATCAGACGACGTGCTAGTGAAGTTAGCTGGAACTGACAAAGAGACGAAAGTAAGCGAGGCCAACGGCTCAGCAGAAAGAAAATCGGAAATTATTACGAAACGGTGCAAGCGAAAAGAGAATTAGCGGAGCAAAAGTTTTTAAGAGTAACGTAACAGCAGCTACGTTGTATTAAACAAGAGGAACGGAAAGAAGAGAGTTGTGAGGAAGAGAAAAGGAAGGATAAAGGAAGGACAGGCAGGAAGAGAGGAGTAGGCAGGGAAGCGAATCAGATGTTGACGGATTGGAAGAGCGGACCCCCAGCCTGACCGTAGCCGCCACCGCAGCTCTACAAAATGGCTTCAATTATCAGGTATGTACATCTTAGGGATGTAAGAATATATGGCATCTCGTGTGCATTCATTTGCATATAAGCTAAATAAAGAATGATGTGTATTTCCACGTAAGTATTCTTAAAACGAC